AGAATTTTAGAGTTGAAAAAGACCTTAAAGGTCATCTGAGCTCTATTTTTATAGGAAAAATAATTTTAAAAACCTAGCATATTACTTTTGCCATTAATTTTCTTAAGCCTCTCTGTTTACAGATATCTTAGCTAGCTATTAATAGTAAATCCCTATCAAGAGAGCTAGGGCAGTTTTTGGAAATCTGAAAATTGTCACTTCTTTTGCATTTTTTCGTACTATTAATCTTCAGAAATACATTTTCTCTGTTTAGTAACTGTATCTGATATTTAGATATTCTGACAGCAGATGTCATTCACCTTCAGTATTTACATAGCTATTTGAATAAGTAAAATGTAATTTAAGTAACAAATATCAAGATAGCTTAGAGATGCCAAATGAAATATAATTTAAAATGTTTTAAAAATAGCCCTTTTCTCATTATAAAAGTAATAAGAATTCATCTTGGAAAGTTTGCATAATGCACAAAAGCAAAGAGAAGAAAATAAATTTCTAAGAATAATTCCACTGTCTTAAAAAAAGCAAAACCTTTAATAGCTTGTGATACAAATATACACATATGTAGGTAGATTGAGATAGATATATAGAAATATACTCGTCCGATATTTTTTGTGTACTTGTGCACACTTTAAAAATACTTTCAACTTTAAAAAGTTGATACACGTACATCTTGAATTATTGATAGACACTTTACTTGCATTATGGTGGACTATGGGTTTAGATACTAAATAATGGAAGTTAGACTTGAATTTTCCCGCGTGTAATAGGGAATTAAATTCTTGACTAAGGGTCAGATGTCCATTTTGTTATATAAATAACTACAAGCATCATATTAAAACCAACTAGAAAAAATGCATCCATACACTGTTTATCATAAATTTTTCTAGTGCATCTATGTTTAACGTAAGGAGGTCTTGTAGATTGATTTTGCTTAATAATATATTATCATCAGTTACTAAATAAAGCTCTTATTTATGCAATTTTCTTACAGCCACAAAGAAGCAGGCAAAATGAAGATGAACACCTTCATTAAGAACATAACATTCAAGAAGGATTCTGTAGATTTTAGAAAGATTTAGTGGGCATTAGAGATTTAGGGTCATTTGTTGTTTTTAATAAAAATCCTCATGTAAGTTGATTTTATTCATTTATTTTTCTCATTGTGATTTTTTTCCTTAAAAATAGTCTCCTGAAATATTCGAGATATGTTCCCCCCCGCCCCCCCCCCCACCCCCGCCATTGCTTGGACAATCACATTTGTTTTTGTGCTAAAATGTTAGAAGAACTTTGAAAGTGAGACCTGCCTGTAATTTCTTTGTTCCTCTACTTGATTCTTCACTTTATTTAAAATTTTCTATCATCTTTAGGGAAGGATTTCATTGCTTTTATGGTAACCCCATACCTCAATAGTTAGATGCCGCCACCAGTTTATCTTTTATGTTCTCAGCCTGAGGAAATCCTTATCTTTTCTGACGGTTTCCCGCTCAGTCTCCAGCTTGCTTTTTTAGCCTCTCCCCCTACCCTTTTTCTGGCTCTCTTCTACTTCTTTGCTGAAAAATAATTTAGGAATAGGCTGATTTTGGAGGTCCCTGAAGAGACTTCTAGAATTCCGTGGCAAAGTTGGACTGAGAACAGCTTGATGGCATTACCTTCATCTGGCCACCTTCCAACCCAGTCTGGTCATTAAATACCCAGTCGTGGGTTCACTCAGGGCTGGTGATCGGTCAATAACGATACTCGACTGCAGGGGTTGCTTAGATGCTGGGAAATGACAGAACTATATATGCCATTTCCTTTTGCTCCAAAGTTTCTTTTTTTTGAGAGAAAATACAGTATCCTTTTGGGAAGGAAGTTACAAGCTATCTCTGAAAGCAAAATGCGTGTAAGACAAACTTTTCAGCATAATATGGAGCACGGATAGTGACTCAGAGCGTGCTGCTCAGAATAGAGTTCCAAGTACGAACATGGAAATGATGTTATAAACAAATTTAGGAAATGGGAGATCTGGAGGACGTCTGAGAAGGTCTCATTGAACGTTCACATAAAATGGATTTGGGGGTCACATCTCTGGAAACAGGACACTATCACAGTAGTTACATTGTTAGTCATGATCTTAAGTGTAGAGGGGAATCAAAGCTCGTTTAACCAGACCCAGGTCTGTGAGAAGAAGCAATTTTCCCAATTCACCTAAGTGGAGACTTTGCATGGTAGGATTGGGATCAGAGCCTGTCTCCTGTCCCTTGGTGTGTTGCTTTCCTCAATATTATTTTTTATATATATAGAAAAGAATGTGTTGTTTATTAGTTTTCTCCCAGTTTTTCCTTATTACTTTTATCCGGCTTCTTAAAGAGTTAGCCCACTACTGATCCAGCATGGTCCAAATTGATCTCTTTGTCCATATAACATAGTAGATAAAAATAATGACTTCAAGTGAGACAGACTTGCGTTTTAATTCTTTCTGTGCCACTTCATAATTATGTAGTCCTGAGTGAGTTACTTTACCTCTGTACCTCACTTTCCACATCTGTAAAACGCAGATAGTAAGAGTTCCCTCATCTATAGGATTGCCCCATAGTTGTATGTGTTCACGTTTAATATATAAAGTGCTGGGTGCACTGTCTGGTGCTTACTATGTGACTCAATATTATTGTGTTGTGGTGATGTTTCATGCCAGATTACAACATGATTTATTTTCTACACAGGAATTAACAGCAATAATTAATAATAATAATAATAAAGGTTTGATCAAGATTTTAAAATCTGCTGTGAAACCTTAAATTGCCAACAGAAATCTGTCCCGATGTATTTGAGTATAAGGGAGCCAGTGCTGAGCAGGTGATAAGGATCCAAAACCTCATGAAGAGCCCCTCAGCCCGTGATGGATCCAGAGAGGTACCCTCAGAGAGGACTTCTGTAGGTGTCCCCAAGAACCAGACTCCAATAATAAATCCGTGCGTAACTGCAAAGGGTTATACCAAGAGGCATTCCGCGCACGGGGTAGAGAACACGATGTCAAAGGCCATCAAACATTATGAGATCCCTCCCTCACAGCACATAAACAAAGTGAGGTAAAAACAAGACAGAAAGTCTGGGGCCAGCCCAGTGGCGCAGCGGTTGAGTCTGCATGGTCTCCTTCAGCGGCCCAGAGTTCACCAGTTCGGATCCTGGGTGCAGACCTAGCACCGCTTGTTAAGCCATGCTATAGCAGGCATCCCACATATAAAGTGGAGGAAGATGGGCATGGATGTTAGCTCAGGGACAGTTTTCCTCAGCAAAAGAAAGAGGACATTTGGAGGCAGATGTTAGCCCTGGGCTAACCTTCCTTAAAAAAAAGCCACAAAAAAAAAAAAAACAAGACAGAAAGGCTGCCTGATAATCCTCAGCAATACCCTGCTTCAGGAACAGGCATTGTGGTTCAAATGTGGGAAGCTGTGCCAAAAAAGCCGAAGGCAGGCAGGCTGAGCCAAATTAGAACAGAGTAAAGATTTTGTCATACCTCTGTAATTCACACAGCAGCATATTCGGCTCAACCACAGGCTGTCCAGATGTTGGCCATCTGACTCTTTATAGCTGTGGTCTGTTTTTTCTTTAAAGCCCCCTTTCCTCTCCGTGTTCCCAGACACTTGGCATTTCTCTTGAAGTGGACTCAACTTGAATAGAGAAGAATTAGTCTTCTTCTCAATTTTGGGGACAATATCTCTTTAAGAGAAATATTTTGAAACCTACCCAGTCTTTGATTAAATTTACGTCATAGCAAGGAAATTTAGCCAAGTGATTGATAGCCCTGGAGTCCCGCAGGCCTGGAGCTGGATCTTGGATCAGTCATTTAGGGGTGTATGAGCTCAGGCAAGTGATTTCATCTGTCTGTGCCTCAGTCTGTTCCATAGTAAGATGGAGACAACAAAAATCATAAAAAAATACCTATATCACAGGATTAAAGAGATAATGTATTTAAAACATTAGCCACTGTGCTGGGTACATAGTAAGCACTCCATAAATGTTAGTTGTTTTGGTTATTGTTCTATTTTAAAGTCTGTTTTATTCCTGAGACCGTTACTTCCTATGATTTCCATACACAGAAACTTCCAAGATAAAGATGATAAAAGTAGAATAATTTTGTACCAATTTATTGGTGACTCCGCTGTTGAATAAGTATTGACTTCAAAAAAGGATGCAGCTCTACTTTTGAGCTCTAGAAAACACATATGTGCGTGCATACATGTCTCAGCACTGGCCTTGGGTACCTGAGAATTCATCACTGTCATATGGCAAGGTGAAGACACCCTCCCATGCCAGAAGCCAGTTTTCTCCATTGGACCATGATTGGCCTCATCCATTCTCCATTGAGAGGATGACTAGGAAACTGCGAGGAAGAGCTGGAACTAAACTCTCCCTATTGATTAGAAGGGTGAGGGAAGGCAAAAAGTCAGGCTGACACTCAGAGGCATGGGTCAGGATTAGTTTACGTAGAATAGGTCATTTTAGAATTTTGAGTTTGTTTTCATTTTAAAAAAAATAATGAAAGTATATCACAAAACTCAACTACTATTTAGAACAAAATTCTCCTTCGCCAAAGAAAATGGAGCCCACCCTGAATGTAATGTACCAATGTAAATGTTTTAATGTTTAATGTTCAATGTAATTGTAATGTACCAATGTAAATGTTTTAGAGAAAGCCAGAGAGGAAACTGGAGATGTTTTCTGTGCAGTAAGTTGGAATTTTCCCCTTTGATGGTGTTAAATGTCAACACATTTCAATGGATAGCATAAGGTCCGACAGCACAAAAAAATGATCTTATCCAGTGACGTATGTGACAAAACAATAGCTGTGATTGTTTTAGGTAATGGAAAAATAATTAACACAATGCCGAAAAACATTTGCATTTGATCACAAAAAATGTAACATTCTTCCTCAAGTTTTTAAAGATATGAGTAAGGAGAAAACTATGATGATTCCCAAATCCAACTAATCATCAGCATTACTTAGAGTTCTTCTAAAAAATTCTGTCTCCCCGACATTGCCCCTGGAGGTTCTGATTCAGCAAGTCTGAAGAGAAGCCCAGGATCAGCTAGTTTGGGAAGCATTCTCTGGCCTGTATCATGTTGACTGCTTAACAGGTCTTATATCTTTATCTGAATTTCTTTATGGTGTCTTAAACCAAGCTGTTTGTGAGTTCAGATCTGTGTGTGTTGTCAGCATGAATGATAACTGAGGTTTCAAAGTAAGAACATGATTATGACATCATGGAACTTGTTCTTGACCTCAGGTGGTGTGAAATAATGGAAGTTCATCCAGTTCATCCAGTAAATATTTACTGAGCCCTTACTCTGTGTCAGACACAGTTCTATGTGCCAGTGATGTAGAGTGAATACAGTAGGAAAACATTCCTGTTCTCATGCAGCTGACATTGTAGTAGAGGGAGACAGGACAAAAGTAAATACATACAATGTACGGAAAGAAGGCTATGAAAAAAGTTAAGGGAGATGGTGAGTGCCAGAATGTGTGTGTATGTGTGTGAATATGAGATACGGATTTTAAATGAGGTGGTTAGGAGATGCCTCCCTGACATTATATTTGAGCAAAGATTTGAAGGAGGTAGAGGAGCCAGCAATGCTGATACTTGATGGAAGGAAATTCTAGGCAGAGGAAAGAGCAAGAGCAAAGATCTAGAGATAAGCATATTAGTTTCCTGCGGGTGCTATAACAAATTTCTGCAGATTTGTTGGCTGAAACCAACAGAAACTTATTCTCTCACAGTTCTGGAGGCCTGAAGTCCAGAATCAGTATGACTGTGCTGAAATGAAGGTGCCTGCAGGGCTGTGCTCCCTCCAGAGGCTCTCTAGGAACATCTGTTCTGTATCTCTTCCAGCTTCTGGTGGCTGCTGGCCTTCTTTGGTTTATGGCTGCATCACTCCAATCTTCACATCCTGCATCTTCAAATCTCTCTCTGCTCCATCTTCACGTTGCTTTCTATTCATGTGTGTGTGTCAAATCTCCCTCTATCTCCCCCTCATAAGGATACGTGTGATTGAATTTAAGGCCCACTCAGAAAACCCAGGAAAATCTCTCCATCTCAAACTCCTTCATCACATCTGTAATGACTTTGCTGTGTAGGATAACATCCACAGGTTCCAGGGTTTAGGACATGAATATCATTTGGGGGCCATTTTTCAGCCTACCATGATGTGGACATGGGTTGACGTGTTTGAGGAGCAAGAAGGAGGTCAATATAGACAGAGCAGAATAGGCAAGAAGGAAAGTATAAAAAGATGGGATCCAAAAGGCAATATATCATATCAGGTCCTTTAGACCATTGTAGGAACTTAGCCTTTTGCTTCAAGTGAGACAGAGAGCCACTAGACGATTTGAGCAGAGAACTGACATGATACAACTTAAGTTTTCACAGGATTGTTTTTGCTGCTGAGTTGAGACTACTCTGTGGTCGGCAAGGCCGAAGCAGGATCAACGAGAAGGTTTAAAAATTATCCAGGCAGAGATGATGGTGGCTTTGATCAGGCTCATGAAAAGAGTTGGATTCTGGATACATTTTGAAGGTTTCAGAACCCACAGGATTAGCTGATGGATCACATTTGGGATATGAGTGAAAGAGAGAAATTAGGAATGACTCCAAGATTTTTGTCCTGAGAACCTGAAAGGATGGAATTACTATTAACCGAGATGAGAAAAGCAGTGGCAGAGTTGGTTTGGGGGAGACTAGAAGCTAGGTTTTGGACATGTTAAATCTGAGAGGCCTATATACTTCTGAGAAGAAGTGAGAAACGCAGGCTGAAGACATAAATTTGAGAATCATCCGCATGGAAGTGGTGTGAAAGAGTAGGAGACTGAGGCGATTCCCAAGCCAGTGAGTGTAGACAGTGAAGAAAGAGGGGGCAAAGACTGTGGCCCGGGGCATTCCATGGTTGGAAGGTGGAGGAGAAACTAGCAAGTGAGACTGAGAAGAAGCAACTGGTGTGTGAGGAAGAAAAAGAAGAGTGGTGTCCAGGCAGACAAGTGAAGAGTTCAAGAAGGAAGTGATAACTGTGCCAAATGCTTCTTATAGGTGAAGTCAGATGAGAACCTGAATGCAGTGATTGTGATAGAGAATGGGAGGACAGGATTGGAGAGATGGAGACCAGATCAAAGTTTTGAGAGTTTGCTGTAAAGAAGAGAGGAGACGCAGTGAGGTCATTGGAGAGGGAAGTGGGATTCTTTGAAGTTGTTTTTTTTTTTTTCTGTAAAGTTTATTGATGATAAGAAGGACCTAAAATAGCCAGACAAATGGATGGTGCAGGAGAGGAGAAAGAGGGAATGGAATCTAGTGTGGAAGTGGATGGGTTGGCCTCCCCAGGCGGGCGGGAGGTCCATCTCTAGTAGAACAAGGAAACAGAGATGCTGAGGGTAGCAGATGAGGTGTGAAAATTCTCTTCTCATTGCTTACATTGTCTCTCTGAAACAGGAAATAAGTTACCAGCTGAGAGTGAGGATGGGAGAGCCGGTGCTGGAGGTTTGAGGAGAGAGAAGGCATACAGTAATTATCTGGGAGATGCGAAGTAAATGCACTAGGGAAGTGGGAGTGAATGTCAGCAGCATTACGGACGTGCATGAGGTTCCTGGTCTTGAATTTAAAGTCAGCCAAGTCAGTGTTGTCGTGTGGTCATTCTCCAGCCACCGTCAACAGCAGGAACAGAGGTGTGGAGTCAACAGAAAGGTGAACTGAACCCGAGCTGTGATTCAGCCAAGCCCGTTGCCTGACTTAAGAGAATGGCGTGGAGTTGAGGTTGGATGTTAGGAAATGGTAATAATGATTGACCACTGAATTAAAGCTAGGTAGGAGGGAAGAGAGGACACAGTGGGTGAGGCTACATTGGAAAGCTGGGTTTGAAGGATGGTGGGTGGTGCTACGGAAGGATGTGAAATCGGAATTGTAGAGGAACAAGGTAGACGGCGACAAGCGGTCCTAATGTTCACTTCCTTCTTAGACCCAGGCCTCTCCTCCCATCGAGAGATGGAGTCCATTTTCCGGCCTCTTTGTTTTTTAGCTTTATTGTGGTATAAGTGACAAACAAAATTGCAAGATATTTAAAGTGCACCATGGTGATTTGATATACGCATACATTGTGAAAGAATTCCCACCATCTAGTTAATGAACGCACCCATCACCTCATTATCTTTTGTGTGTGTGGTTGAGAACATTTAAGTTCCATTCTCTTAGCAGATTTTAATTATATATTACAGTGTTATCAACTATAGTCACGATGTTTACATTAGATCCTCAGATCTTATTCATCTCATAGCTGAAAGTTTGTACCCTTTTACTGACCTCTCTCTATTCTCCCACACCTCAGCCCCTGGCAACCACTTTTCTACTCTGTTTCTACAAATTCGACTGTTTTTTTTTTGGATTTCACATATAAGTGATACTATGCGGTATTTGTCTTTCTCTGGCTTATTTCCCTTAGCATAATGCCCTCAGGATCCATCCATGTTGTCACAAATGGCAGGATTTCCTCCTTTCCCATGGCTGAAAAATATTCCATTGTGTATACTTAACACATCTTCTTTATCTATTCACTCACTGATGGACACTTAGGTTGTTTCCATGTCTTGACTATTGTGACTAATGCTCCAATGAACACAAGAGTGCAGATATCTCTTCCACATCCTAATTTCAATTTCTTTGGGTTTATACCCAGAAGTAGGATTGCTGGATTACATGGTAATTCTATTCTTAACTTTTTGAGGAAGCTCCATACTGTTTTCCATAGTGGCTTCACCAATTTACATTCCCACCAACAGTGCATAAGAGTTCCCTTTTCTCTCTCTACATCCTCCCCAACACTTGTGATTGCTTCTCTTTTTTTTTTTTTTTTTTTTTGATGAGGAAGATTGTCCCTGAGCTAACATCCATGCCAATTTTCCTCTACTTTATATGTGTGATGCTGCCACAGCATGGCTTTATGAGAGGTGTGTAGGTCCATGCCTCTCTGTTTTTCTCAATTGAGAGTTAATTGACTTACAGGAAACTGTACGTATTTAATATGGACAATTTGATAAGTTTTGACATAGTGCTCTGGACCAAATTGTGTTCCACCAAAATCCAAATGTTGAAACCCTAATCCCCAATGTACTGTATTTGACAATTGGGCCTTTAGAAGGTAATTAAGGTTGAATGAGATCATAAGTGTGGGACCCTATCCAGTAGGATTGGTGGCCTCATGAGAAGAGGAAGAGAGAGAAAGTTCTCTCTGCACTCACAAAGAAGAGGTCATGTGAGCACACAATGAAAAGGCTGCCAGTAAGCCAGGAGAAGAGACTTTGGCATAAAACTGACCTTGACAGCATCTTGATCTTGGACTTTGCAGCCTCCAGAACTGTAGGAAATAAATTTCTGTTGTGTAAGCCACCTGGTCTGTGGTATTTTGTTTTGACAGCTTGAGCAGACTAACACACATAGGTGTACATCTATGACACCACCATCACAATCTAGTGAATATGTCCATTATCCCCAAAAGTTTCCTCATGCTTCTCCGTAGTCCCTCTTTCCTACCACTCCTTGTCTCTCCTTAACCTATCCCCAGGCAATCATTTATTTACTTTCTCTCACTAGAGATTGGTTTGTATTTTAAAGAATTTTATAAAAATGGGATAATATAGTATATTTACTTTTATAGCCAGCCCTGGTGCTCTAGTGTTTAATACCCGACATTCACACTGCCACAGCCCAGGTTCACACCCTGGTCAGGAAACCACACCACCCATCTGTTGGTTCTCATCCTGTGGTGGTTGCATGTTGTTGTGATGCTGAAAGTTATGCCACCGGGATTTCAAATACCATCAGGGTCCCCCATGGTGGACAGGTTTCAGCGGAGCTTCCAAACTAAGACAGACTAGGAAGAAAGGCCTGGACACCCGCTTCTGAAAATATTGGCCATGAAAACCCTGTGAAGAGCAGTGGAGCATTGTCTGATGTAGTGCTGCAAGGGGAGAGTTGGCTCCAATGGACTGCACAGGGTTCTGCTCTGCTGGACACAGGGTCGCTGGGAGTTGGAATCCACTCCACACCATTAACAGCAAATATTTTTATGGGCTGGCTTCTAGCTTCTTTTGCTCAGTACAATTCAATTATTTTGAGTTTCTTTTACGTTGTGTGCATCAGTAGTTCATTCCTTTGTTTTTTTGTTTTTTTGTTTTTTTCCTGAGTAGTATGGATTAGATGGATACACTGCAGTTTCTTTATCCATTATCTGTTGACATTTGTGTCGTTTCCATTTTTCAGCTATAACGAAGTGGCCACGAACATTCATATGCAAGTTTTTGCGTGGACCTGCACTTTTATTTCTCTTGGGTAAATACCTAGGAGTGGAATGGCTGGATCATATGACCTGTGTATGTTTTAATTTTTTAGGAAACTGCCAAACAGTGTTCCAGAGTGCTTGTGCCATTTTATATTCTCATCAGCAGTTTACAGAATTTCCAGTTCTCCACATGCTCACCAATATTTGGCGTCATGGCTAAGAAATGTTTGCCTAAGCTTTGCACAGGTCACAAAGATTTTCTCGTATATAGTCTTCTAGAATTTTTTAGTTTTAGGACTTAGACGTAAATATGTGACCCATTTCAGTTAAATTTTGTGTGTTGTGCAAGGTATAGATTGAAGGGGTTTTCTCTGCATATGTATATCCAGCTATTTTAGCATCATTTGCTGAAAAGACTATACTTTTCCCACTGAATTTTCTTTGCACTTCTGTTGAAATCAGTTGTCCATCTATATGTGGTTCTATTTCTAGATTCTTAACTCTGTGCCATCAGTCTATTTATCCGCCCTTATACCAATAGCATGCTGTGTTGATTGCTGTAGCTTTATAGTGAACGATGGAATCGAGTAGTATTGCTCCTTCAACTTTCTTTTCCTTTTCTGGCTATTGTAGGTCCTTTGCATTTGCATATAAATTTTATGATCAGCTTGTCAATTTTGAAGAAAAAGCCTCTGAGCTATATACATATACATATTTTTATATACATATAAAAATATATGAATATAACATATATGTATATGTTATGTGTTATATGTATATACGTTATATACATATAATTATATATATATTTTTCACATAAGATGTCATAATCTTTGTCCACATTCCTTTATAGTTTTAAAATATTTTAAATGTTTGCCTCGTGTTCTATTGAGTGGGTATGTTATAATTATACATTTTCCATAACGTTGAAATTTCCCTTAATACATTGATATTGCATTCTGTGAAGAATGTCTGAGGGTACACAATTTTTCCACATTTTGGATTATTGCCTCAGGATAAATACCTAGAAGTAAAATTACAGCACAAAGTTTAAAAATATTTGCATGAGTTTTGCATGTTATCATAGAATATTTTAGAACACAAACAGTGCACAAGAGTTCTTGAGTCCTTAAATCTGGGGCAAAAGCATTAAAATCTACAGGAATTAAAGTATTACTAAATTCTGTATAATAACAAATTGAGGAAAACGTTAACAAACTCCTGAAATACGTTGTGTATATTTACTGAATAATTTAACTTCGGCTCAATATGTTTTTTAAAAAATACAATAAATCACTTAACATTTACAATTTTGAAAAATCTAAGCACATGTTTGGAGACAAAATATCTGAAACAATAGTGGTTACAGTGGATTGGAGAACATAAACCAATAGGTGTGCGTTTAAAATTTTTTTTTAATTGAGGATTCATTGACATAACACCGTGAAATTTCGGGTGTACATCATTATATTTCAGCTTCTGTATAGACTACGTCTATGTTCACCACCAGTAGTCTTGTTCTTATCCATACATATGTGCCCCTTTAACCCCTTCACCCTCCCTCTACCCCCTTCTCTGGCAACCACCAATCTGTTCTCCATATCTAGGTGTTTATCTTCCACATATGAGTGAAATCATGCAGTGTTTGTCTTTCTCTGTCTGACTTATTTTGCTTAGCATAATACCCTCAAGGTCCATCCATGTTGTTGCAAATGGCACAATTTTGTCTTTTTTTATGGCTGAGTAGTATTCCATTGTATATAGACACCACATCTTCTTTATCCATTCATCCACTGATAAGAACTTGGGTTGCTTTCAAGTCTTAGCTATTGTGAATAATGCTGTGATGAACGTAGGAGTGCATATATCTTTTTCAATTATCAATTTCATGTTCTTTGGATAAATACCCAGTAGTGGAATCGCTGGATTGTATGGTATTTCTATTTTTAATTTTTTGAGAAATCTCTGTACTGTTTTCCATAGTGGCTGTACCAGTTTGTATTCCCACCAGCAGTGTATGAAGGTTATCTTTTCTCCACATCCTCTCCAACACTTATTGTTTCCTGTCTTGTTAATTATAGTCATTCTGACAGGTGTAAGGTGATATCTCATTGTAGTTTTGATTTGCATTTGCCTAACAATTAGTGATGTTGAACACCTTTTCCTGTGCCTGTTGGCCTCTGTGTTTCTTCTTTGGAAAAATGTCTCTTCATATTCTCTGCCCATTTTTTGATCAGCTTGTTCATTTTTGTTGTTGTTGAATTGTATGAGTTCTTTATGTATTTTGGAAATTAACCCCTTATCAGATATATGATTTTCAAATATTTTCTCTCAGTTGGTGGGTTGTATTTTCCTTTTGTTCCTAGTTTCCTTTGCTTTACAGAAGCTCTTTAGTCTGATGAAGTCCCATTTGTTTATTTTTTCTTTTGTTTCCCTTTCCAGAGGAGACATGGTATTCGAAAAGATACTGCTAAGACCAATGTCAAAGAGCGTACTGCCTATATTTTCTTCTAAAAGTTTTATGGTTTCAGGTCTTACATTCAAGTCTTTAATCCATTTTGAGTTAATTTTTGTGTATGGTATAAGATAATGGTCTACTTTCATTCTTTTGCACATGGCTGTCCAGTTTTCCCAACACCATGTATTGAAGAGATTCTCCTTTCTCCATTGTATGTTCTTGGCTCCCTTGTAGAATATTAGCTGTTCACAGATGTGTGGGTTTATTTCTGGGCTCCAATTCTGTTCCATTGATCTGTGTGTCTGTTTTTGTGCCAGTCCCATGCTGTTTTGATTACTATAGTTTTGTAGCATATTTTGAAAGCAGGGAGTGTGATACCTCCAGCTTTGTTCTTTTTTCTCAGGATCCCTTTGGTTATTCAGGGTCTTTTGTTGTTCCACATAAATTTTACAATTGTTTGTTCTATTTCTATGAAAAATGTCTTTGGAATTCTGATTGTGATTTTATTGACTCTGTATATTGCTTTAGATAATATGGACATTTCAACTACGTTTATTCTTCCAGTTCACGAGCATGGAATATCTTTCTATCTCTTTATGTCATCTCCAATTTCTTTCAATAATGTCTTATGGTTTTCAGTGTATAGGTCTTTTACCTCTTTGGCTAAATTTTTTCCTAGGCATTTTATTCTTTTTGTTGCAATTGTAAATGGGACTGTATTCTCGATTTTCTTTTTGCTAGTTTGTTATTAGTGTATAGAAATGCTACTGATTTTTGTATGTTGATTTTGTACGCTGCAACTTTACTATGCTCATTAATTATTTCTAATAGTTTTCTGACAGATTCTGTAGGGTTTTCTGTATATAGAATCATGTCATCCACAAAGAGTGATAGATGTGCAGTTTTAAATGCGTTAGGGAAGTATGGCAAGCTTTCTTTTGTTGCATTTGGAAGACTTGCTGAAAAGTCTTATCATTCTCTAGCTACTTTTAAAAGTAAAACTCTAAAAGAGATTAGTCATCATTAAGGGGTTGGGTAAGATGTTTTAATACTGTTACTTCTTTCCTCATATGGATATTTCCTGGGATGTCACAAATTTCCATGGCATTTAAGGAAATTTATCTTGCTTTTAGATATAACAAGATTTATGGGCTTTCTGGAAAAGCAAATGAAATACGGAAGGTAATTGATTAAAACAATAGATTTAAAAGAAAAGGATACATAATTTTGATCCCATTGCATCATTTATCTTCTTACCTACTTTTACAAAATCTTCAATAATGCTTTAAATTTATACATCTCCACCACTTTGTTTTAAATCAAGACAGTTTTTTTTTCTTTTTAAAATTTTCTTTAAAGACTGGCACCTGAGCTAACAATTGTTGCCAATCTTTTTTTTTTCTGCTTTTTCTCCCCAAATGCCCCCAGTATATAGTTGTATATCTTAGTTGTGAGTCCCTCTAGTTGTGGTATGAGGGATGCCGCCTCAACATGGCCTAATGAGCAGTGCCATGTCTGCGCCCAGGATCCAAACCCTCGAAACCCTGGGCCACCAAAGCGGAGCATTCGAACTTAACTACTCAGCCACGGGGCCAGCCCAAGACTGTTTTCTTTAAAATCACATGAAAATATTCAAAGTAAAATATGTTGTTTTCGGAGTATTTAATATCATCATTGATTCAATATAACACTAATGAATTAACAATTGCTTCTATTAGAATCTCTGTGAGATTTTTAAAAAATCTGGCACCCCATGTTTTTCCCTAATCAAAAAAATGTCAGACAGAGAAAGACAAATGCTGTATGATTTCACTCATATGTGGAAGATAAACAAACACATAGATAAGGAGGACAGATTAGTGGTTACCAGAAGAGAAGGGGGTGGAGGGAGGGTGAAAGGGGTAGAGGGGCACATATGGATGGTGATGGATAAAAACCAGACTATTGGTGATGAACATGATGCAGTCTGTACAGAAACTGAAATGTAACAATGTACACCTGAAATTTATACAGTTTTAAACCAATATGACCTCAATAAAATGATTAAAAAATAATAAATAAAGCTAATGAAAAAATCTAAGAACTCAAAAAAAGAAAAGGAAAGAAAAATCCATTAGCAAGCAGAATACACCTTATAGCAGCTGTTCTGTAAGCTCAGTGAGGTTCCCAGTTCTTTGGTTGTTTTGGGAGCTTCAGCCCCTCTGTGCATGAAAGGGTCGCTTGAGACACACAGTCTCCTTCAGAGCCTCCTCCCACAGGGACGTCTTACGTAACCACAGTATGAGATATTTTGAGGTAAATTATAAGAATATATAAGTAGTTTTCAGGAGACATACATAATGTCTCTCTTGCTACTACTATTACTGCAATTTTTAGTTTAATACTAGTGTGTTTTGAAGGTGGCACTACAGTAAAATATTCTCAGAGCGAAAGAAAAAATTTTCACTTGAAAGGCTGCGGTAATGATAGTTTTGTCAAAATCATGTATCTCATAACTATGCAAAAATATCTTCCTAAAGGTTTAATGGCAGGCAATTATGACAGTCGCGAGAATGCACCTTGCGGACCGCCAACTATGGGGATTATAATTGACCGAGAGCCCCAGCTGCTGTCCTCTGACAGCCATTGCCGCGTTTGCACTGCCCCAGCCAATGACTGAATGTGACAGTGACAATGTGAAAGATGTACCTTAATAGTGAAAAACATGGGGGCTCCTCTGAGGGCCAACTTTGGCTCAAGACCTCCAAACGTTCTTGCCAAAGCTTCACTGGATTGCGTGGCAATCTGGAATGCTTCCCTCCAGCCGACCCTTCCTCCTCCCCTCCTCTTCCCCTCCTCTTCCCCTCCTCTTCGCCTGGGGTCAGACTTGTATCCTGGTCTGACAGCTCTTCCAGCTCCTCCCGTTTTCTCTGACACAGGCATTTTCCCTAATAAAACTCTCGTGCTGTTAATCTCGTGTCAATATTGTGTCTCAGAGGATCCAGACTAGGACATCAACATAGAAGAATCTGAATTATAACCATAACCAAATATAATTTCTATTTGTTTACTAAAAACAATAAAAATAAAATCCTCGCCTTGGTGTTACGTCTGTATTCAAACATATAGAGTGCATGATCCTAAGACTTGCCTGTGGTCTCAGCAGGACGGTAAAATGCATCAACCTTTACCTACCAATTCTTGTGCTTCTGACTGAAAGTGCACACTGAATGTCAAGATCAGCAGAGGGAATTAAAATAAAATAACATTTTTGAAGGGCCAAAAAATTAGGAAAGCCAATGAATATTTTAAAAGCATGTTTTTTCTTTCCTGAGATCAAAGAATATAGGGCACAGATAGATACAATTAAATATTTTTAATAAAGCAATAATTATTATGGTGATATATTGCCATTAAAACATAAGGAGATTGCGGGGCCAGCCAAGTGGCATAGTGGTTAAGTTCATGCGTTTTGCTTCGGCAGCCTGGGGTTTGCAGGTTCAGATCCCAGGTGCAGACCTATGCACAACTCATCAAGCTATGCTGTGGTGGCATCCCAGATACAAAATAGAAGATTGGCACAGATGTAAGCTCAGGGCCAATCTTCCTCACATACACACACAAAAGAAAAATTAAAAAAAAAAGTAGGGCCAGGCCGGTGGTGTAGCAGTTAAGTTTGCCCACTCTGCTTCAGCAGCCCGGGGTTCGCTGGCTTGGATCCTGGGTGCAGACATGGCACTGCTTGGCACGCCATGCTGTGGCAGGTGTCCGACATATAAAGTAGAGGAAGATGGGCACAGATGTTAGCTCAAGGCCAGTCTTCCTCACAAAAACAAAAAACAAACAAAGAAAAAACATTAGGGGATTGCATACAATGGGATATTATAAGTTATTTAGGAAGTAATACCAACGATCATAAGGGGGATGTTCTTTCTAGTGGAGCGAGGCTGCAAACCTGCAGTCAGCAGGATTGGCAACCTGAGTTCTTTTGCGATCATGACGATGGTTGGCCATGGGCCATGTGTATCCCCTACCTGGTTCTCTTTATAACCAGCAATATTAGCTTACAAGATGGCTGAATAGGTTTGGGTGCAATTTGGGGTCATGGATCTTTTCTCTTTACATCTCTGCCTTGCTCAGTAAGTGCTCACGCCATGATGTCGTTGTCATTAATACTGTACTCTAAGCAGCTAATCAAAATGCTCCCACAAAAGAACTACAATATAAAGACCAATAACACTTGCCCGGGGAAGGGGCGTGCTTTATGGATCCACCGTTCCTTCCCTCTAGGCTTTGGCAGGAAAGATTCCTCCCGCCCCACCCATCCACATTTTCCTGCATTTGCCTACAGGCTATGCAAGACTTTCAGAAAGGAGTAAGTTCAAGGTGACTAGAAAACTAAATTTTAAAAGGTTTTTTTTTTAAAAAGAACAAATTGATTTTTGAGTGTATGGGTTATTTTAATTTTTAGATAGTTTCATAAAAATTAATCCAACCATTGGATTTTCACTGAAAGGTATAATACAACACAATTTTAGTTTGAATTTTAAGCACTTTGTGGAAATAAACTTTAAAAGCAATGTACGATTTTACTTCAGAAACTTACTGTTTATGATTTTATTCTAGAGTTACTATGACTTAATATTAATTAACCGTAAAGAAATGTCTGACATTCTTCTTAGTATATAATAGAAAGAAAGGTAAAATGGGAGGTCCACTAACCTAGGAGTGCCACAAAGATAGTTTTTAAAAATCTTTTGTACCAAAAATAAAGGAGAGTGATTTAGAGTTCCAGGGGCAATTCTGAAAATAAAAGTAAATTAAGCATTAAAAGCAGTATTTTTAGCACTTCTCTTGAAGCTCTTCTCAATTTCCACTTATCCCTACCTCTTCTTGGTCTCTTCTAATTACCACGCATCTTCCTCCCTCTGGCCCCCAGCACTCAGGACTCAGAGTGACACGGGAGGTGTCTCTGAAGCATTAGGATGGCTTGTTGGGGGCCCTGGTGCTCTCACCACATGCACTGCAGATGCTTAATTGGCTCAGCTGGAACAAAACAAGGTGAACTTTCCCAGAGCCAAGACTCATGTTACATTAGCCTCAGTGACACCTTTTTAACGCTTATGGTATTTTTCTCCCCATATTTCAAAAGTGCTCAGGGATCTGCAGGACTGTGTATAGAACCCAATGCCAACTATGTACATAAACTTTTTTTAAAAAAAAGACAAGTAAAACATTTAAAAGCACTGCTCATTTTACTCTGCAATTTATTTGCAAATTTATTTCTTCTTCCGAGATATATATATATATATATATATATATTGCATTCCCGGGATAAATCATACTTGGCTCTGATGTATTATCCATTTTATAAATTGTGGAATTAGATTTGAAAAATTCTGTTTAGACATTTTGCATCTATGTTCATGAAGGATATCATCTATAGTTATTTTCTCATATATATATATATATCCCTAACTAAAGAAATTCTATTCTTTTCTAAAACAGTATCTCTTGAGTATTTCAAGGTTCTTTATAACTTAAAATATCTGACTTATAATTAAGCAGGTGTGAAAGGAAACACGAAAGATCTTTCTTCCTCATCCCAAGAAGCAGCACCTACCACCATTCTCAACAAGAAATATCTATGTTATGGTCACCGACAAGAGTTTACCACCTCGCAACGTCGTGTTGTTACTGAATTGTTTATTGTCAGTCTCCCCAGTGTGCACGTTGGCTCCAAGACTGAGACTTCCTCTCTCTTTTCGTCTCTCTATCTTGGGAATCTAGAAGGGTGCCTAGCACATTTGTTGAATGAATGAATAAAGGAATGAGTTTTTCAAATGTCGATTATGTAATATCTCATTTTTCTCCTCTTTTGAATAAGGGAAATAACATCTCTCTTACAAGAATATTGTGAAGATTAGGTGATAAAAGATAGGAATATTCCCAACCTCATTATTAGAAAAATATTGGTTCCATTTTCTCTCCTCTAAAGAGTGGTTCTCCAAGCAGCCCTGTGGAGGACATTTTGGAAATCTGCAGGGGAATTTCGGGTTTTCAGAGAGAGAAGCATTGCCCTTTATCGGGCAGTGTCATGGATGCAAGGTGTCCTGCAGTGCGTGGGAGAGCCCCACACAGTAAATAATCACTCTGAGTCACTTAGGACTTTTGATTGTCCCACTGGACTTTCATGTAGGTTAAAACCTGTTTATAATGATCAAAGCTAGAATCTGATTCCGTTACGTATAAAAACAAAGTATTTATGGTGAGTACAGTGTTGTCAGGAATGCAACTACCATGGAAGTGTCAAGGGAAGACTGAACTTTCTGAAATCGAGATTTTCAATATAGAGCTCAGTTGTTGCTGTTGTGGTATTTTACTGGCAAACGGTTAGAAAAATTCTAATTCTAGGGGAGGGTCTAAAATGAAAAACTAAAATCTCCCTTCTTCTGCACCTATCCCTAACCCCACCTATCCCTAACCCCACCTATCCCTAACCCCACCTATCCCTAACCCCACCTATCCCTAACCCCACCTATCCCTAACCCCGCTCCTCGAAGCAACTCTTTCTGCAGCACTTATGATCTTTAGAACTTTTTACAATTATAATTTAACATAAACTAAACTTGACTAAACTGAAATTTATATTGGTGTGTCTCTGCACATCAGCCTCAGACAATATTTATAGGCGTATTTATCATCACGTTCCTTTCCTCTCCCTCTATCTTCTATTTTGGTAGTTTTTATTTTTACATTAACAAACTTTATAATAGATATTCTGCATTGTATGAGTCTTCTATCTTTTTTCCGTAGGCTTATTAAAATAAAGTAAAAACATTTGAAGTACATTTATATTATGATGTAAATGTACACTATTGTACACACTTTGATGTGAGTGGACACACAAAAAAAGAGAAATAGAATTTTATATTGCCAATCCTTTAATATTTAAGACTAATAATCCAATCTCACAGTTCAACGGAATACTTTATTTTTTCGTCGGCTTTTCTTGCTGCCATTCTTCCTTGATCTCAGTCATCCTTTGGAGTATTCCTTTTATGTTTTTCTGGAGTGTCTACTCACACACTTTTTCTAAGAATGCATGGAAGGTAATTTTCTCTTAGATTGCTTTGCATATTCCAAAAGAATATTGCTTTGCATATACCAGAAATTCCTCAAAATGAGGAGAGGAAATTATTTCATAGTGTTCCAGCACTCACGGATGCTAAAGAGAAGTCTGGTAACCCTTTCTGTGCAAGATACCAGATTTTCCACTCTGGAAGCTTTCTTGATTTTTCTCTTCATTTTCAGAATCGAGACAGTTACCAGCATAGACGTTTTCCTCTCTCACCATGCTTCTACTTGGTAAGCTCTTTAAATCAGAATGCACATCTATTTTTAACTCAGAGAAATTTTTTGAGTTAAAAATGATAATGTCTATTATTTAATTATTTTTTACCTTCTGTTTTCTCTGAGTTTTGCTTCTGGAATGCTCATTCCTGCATATTTGAACTTTGGGATCTATTCTCTATATTTCTGAAATTTTCTTGGCTATTTTTCTTTGGTCTTTTGGGCAAATTCCTTAATCATTCTATGCTTCAGTTTCCTCCTGTATAAAATGGGGACAATAATAATACCTTATTAGATTGTTCAGTAATGTCAAGTGCTTAGAACACTGCCTGGAGTATGGTAGGAGATAAATATGCACTCTGTGACAACTAGTAGGTCTACAAATAACTCTATTTTACAAGAGATTTCCTTGATTTTATCTCTTAGTTATTAACTTGGACTTGAGAGCTGTCCTTTTTATTATTCACACTATTCATTGAATTTTTATTTCAACAGTCACCTTATTCTAATTCCAAGTCTCTTTCTCATTCTCAGATTGCTATTTTCTTGCAGCATCTTCTTTTATTAAAATGGCTTTATGAGCCCTTTAATCTCTGTGGATCTCACACACACACATAAATATATTTAATTAGGTTACATTTATTGTGATTCCTGGTATAGATGACTTCAATGTAACTTAATAATAAGAGTAATTATAATAATTTCAAAATAAATTAAAATGTGTTCAATTCCTAAATGCTGTTTTGTTGGAAAGAAAAACTATTTTATTGTTTTAAAAAGTGGGCTCTGAGAACAAAGGGTGAGTCCACTGGGGCCTTCAGTGTCCTGGTGGTGATTTGTCCTTCTCAGTGATGTGGATGATGATTCCCATGCCTGACAGTGAATCCCTGTCCAGAGCATTCAACACGGCTTGTGAAAGGGTTTGAAACAGGTGTCTGGATCCATCTTGGGCTCCCAGAGGGACTTGCAAACCCTGCACATTTGTACCACATTTGTTCCAGGTGCCACTGAGCACAAAGTCATCAGTCACCATGGGGCAAGTGATGAGGTCTAGACAGCAGATGAAGGGCTTAATGGTCTTCAGGTCCAAGCCAGTGATAACTGGCTCAATGTAGTAGGGGCCAAACTGTTTCTCATACAAGAGGTTGGCCACCATGTTCATGAAGGTACAAGGCTTGATCTGCCGACCTTCCTTCAGCTTACACAGGTTTGGGTAGAATTTGAGGCTCTGGGCAATGGTCTGGGCAACTCAGTTTCTTTATCTCCCTTCCTGATTTCTATTAGAATGACTCATCTTATTCCTCTCTTTTCCCCCTGTTGGTTTAAAGTGACAGATTCCATATCTAGTCTTTTAATTATTACCATGGACTTTTAACATACACACTTGACATAAAAATCTAAAGTTGGAGATGATGTCAAGATAGCAGTGCGTGTGGACATTGAACTCACCTCCTCCCAAGGACACAGCAAATTTACAACTACTCTTGGAACAATTACCCCTGAGAGAGAACTGAAAACTGGATAAAAAGAACCCCCACAACAAGGGATGGTGCTGACTGAGGTGGAAGAGGCAGAAATTCCTTTATGGAGGGAAAAAAGACACCTTCAAGCCATGGTGCCTCATGGCTGGCCAGGAGCAATATTAAGGTACAAAGACTTCCCTGGAGGAGTGGGGGGATCAGAGTGGGTGAGTGTTAACCACCATAGGAGACTTTTGGACTCAGCACAACCGAGACAAGTGTCATAATGCCTGGCTTTGATTGCTATTAACTACAACAGGGAATAACCCCAGAAAAGCTATCAGACATAAGGGCAAAAAAAGCCTGCTCTTATAGGAGCCACATACAAATTCACCCATTTCAGAAAGAAACCTAAAATCACCAGAAAGAAAGGTGCACAGACCTTTCATGAAAAGAGACTCACTTAAGAGCCTCTGGGCACCTCTTGGTGAGAGGCGAGACCTCCTCAGGGACTGAGACATTGGCAACAGCAATTATTGTGACCTAGTACAAGCATGCTGACACAGATGCTGGCAGATGCCATTGGAATTCTTCCCCTGGCCTGTTAATGTAGCGGTCTGCCCCACTCACTAAAGCACCAATTTAACCCAGCTCAGCCAGGGCAGGTAGCCTGCACTAGGGACCGCCCCTCACAACAGCAAGGCTTTGGGCTTGTGGGCCTGCATAAGTGGGATGCCTGGAACCTCTGCAGCTAGGCAAGTGGGCCCACCTCTGTGGAGAAGGGTATACGCAAGGGGCAGGCCTGCATTGGTGGAGTGTGTGGGGCCTCTGCAGCAGGGTGACTGGGTTTGCTTCAGTGGATTGGAGTGTGCACATGGGGCAGGAGTGTGTTGACAGTGTGTGTGGCCCTGTGGGCAGTGGGGCTTGACAGCTGCAGTAGACTTGTGTTTCTCAAACAACCACATAGGGGATCAGCCCCATCTTCCAAAGCCTGAAACAACTGGGTGCTCCCATGCCTGGGGCTGGCCCCATCAGCAGCAACCCTGAGAAAGCAGACAACAGCCTTGCAGGCTGAAGGCCTATAGCAATTGCAAACCCCTGAACCTAGCAACCAGCCATGCTGGGTACATACTCACTTTACAGAAAAACTGCAAGAGGAATGTGCTATTAGACCTTGCAGCCAACTGTGCTGGGGCTCCCCATGACTGATAAAGTGACTGAAGGGAGCACAGTCGCCATACATAGCTGAGCATTACAACCAGCCAGCTCGGGGGACAGCCTAGACTCCCTGGGCACCTGCAGCAAGAGGAACCTTACCAACAGAAGGATACATGCATCCCACACAGGGGTCACTCCTGGAACATTTGGAGCTGGTGATAAGAGGGAAGCACACTGTTGGGCCTCAAAAGACATCTCTTACATAAGGTCACTTCCCTAAGATAGGGAGATGTAGCTGACCTACCTAATACAAGATATACACACAGAGAAAGAGGCAAAATGAGGAGACAAAGGAATACATTTCAAGAAAAGGAACAGGACAAAGCCACAGAAAAAGAACTAAAGGAAACAGAGATAAATAATCTACTTGACAAAGAGTACAAATTAAGAGTCAAAGATGCTCAATGATCTTGGGAGAAGACTGGATGAACTCAGTGAGAACTTCAACAAAGAATTTGAAAATATAAGAAAGAACCAATCAGAACTGAAGAATACAATACTGGAAATGACAAATTTGCTAGAAGGACTCAGTAGCAGAGTAGATAATACAGAAGAACAGATCAGCAAGCTGCATAAAAGACTACAGGAAATCACCCAAGCTGAACACATAAAAGAAAAAAGCATTAAAAAGAATGAGTACAGTCTAAGGGACCTCTGGGACAACATCAAGAGCACTAACATTTGTATTATAGGTGTCCCAGAAGAACAAGAGAGAGACAAAGGGGCAAAGAATCTATTTGAAGAAACAATAGCTGAAAACTTTCCTAACCAAAGGAAGGAAATACACTTCCAGGTACAAGAAGCACAGAGAGCACCAAACAAGATAAATGCAGAGAGGCCCACACCAAGACACATTATAATTCAAATGTCAAGAATTAAAGGTAAAGAGAGAATCCTAAAAGCCACAAGAGAAAGGTAACAAGTTACATACAAAGGAAAGCCCATAAGGCTATCAGCTGACTTGTCAGCCGAAACATTACAGACTAGAAGGGAGTGGCACAATATATTTAAGTGCAGAAAGGAAAAAAACTTACAACCAAGAATACTCTACCTGACAAAGTTATCATTCAGAATGGACGGAGATATAGTTTCCCAGAGAAGCAAAAACTAAAGGAGTTTATCACCAAGAAAAAAACCTTACAAGAAATGTTAAAGGGACTTATTTAAGTGGAAAAGAGGACTACAAATAGAAATAAGAAAATTATTTTTAAAAAGGCAATAAAACCACTGGTAAAGGCAAATATACAATAAAGGTAGCACAACAACCACCTATGAAGCTAACATGAAGGTCAAAAGGCAAAAGCACTAAAATTATCTATTTCCATGATAAGAGGGTAACAGACACACATGCACAAAAAAAGAGGTTAGATGTGATATCAGAAACATAAAATGTGGGAGGAGAGGAATAAAAGCATAG